CAGCTTCCAATCCTTCCCCAACTTTTCAAGCCTTAGAGTTCTAAGGCACTTGCAGTACTAGCTTAAAAATGAGGTCCACTACCAACTACCCAAAGAAAATGAAAAAACATACATTCGTTTGCGCATCGGGTACATAAGATTTGCGAATTACAAAAGAATAGAGGTAAAGACAATAAGTTCTGCTACGGACTACAATATGCACCAGAACAGAGCCTGAGTTACCCAAACAACTAAACATTACTACCGCTAATCAACAGCCGGACAGTCTTTAACAGTTTAAATACTCAACCATTTTTCATGTTTCAGTGGATTGCTGCAAATTCTCCAGGTCGAAACCGATGATAAAAATCCTCAACTGGTTTTCGGAGAGGAACCACTGTGCACCGACCATCAACACACACAAAAGACAGGAGCAAACCGAAACAATCTCTGGGCCTTGGCTGATTGCAGCCAGGAGCCCAGGTCTTCATTCCAGACCCCGGCAACAAGGAGCGTTCAAAAGGACTCAGGGTGGGGGTGGAGAGAGGATGGGGGTGGGGCCCCTCCTCGATTGCGCCGGCAGGGAGGAGAAGCGAGAGGGGAGCTAGCGCAGCACAGAGGAAGCGAGAGAAGCGCCGGCCAGCATCGGCGGCTTCCAGGCCGGCGACACCCTCGGGCCCTTACCAGGCCTGACCCTCCCAGTCCCGTCGCGCCTCCTCACCTCCCTCACGTCCTGCAGGCACTCGAGCACCGCCAGGTTGTTGCTCCAGGTGTGCTTGGGGCACACCCGGGTCACATCCTCCCTGCAGGACTCTTCCTCCGCCAGCTTCCAACCCCCACCCGCCCCGCCGGGCCCGGCTCCGCTCCGCCGGGCCGGAGGCCCACCCGCCGGGAAAGGCGGTTGAGGAGGCTGGGGCGGCTGTTGCTGCTGTTGGAGCTGTTGTTGCTGCTGTTGCTGCTGCTGCTGCTGCTGCTGCTGCTGCGGCTGCGGCTGTTGTTGCTGAAACTGCATTGCCTGGGGCAGCTGCTGACCCACCGGCCCACCGCCTCCAGCTTGCCCGCCGAAGGGAACAAAGTTGGCCCCTTGACCCTGGCTGTGGCCGCCAGCACCCGGGAATTTCTGGGCCTCGACAGCCGAGAGCAGCAGCACTAGCTGCAACGCCGCCGCCGAGTGGAACATTCTCCGTACACGTCCACACGCCGCCATCTTGGTTCCGCTGAGAGCTCGACGCACCCGCCGGCGCCGCGTATTTAAATGAGGGGCGTGGCCAGCGTGGCGCTCTCGGAGCCCCTCCCCGGCCGGCGCCTACCCGGGAGCCACTGGCTGGGCGGGGGAGGAGGTCGCTCACGGAGCGCCCCAATCCTGGCCCTGTGGGGCAGGGAAGCTCCCTACTCTGGGAGTTGTCGAGGCAGCTTAAAAGATCTCAGTAAGGACAACATGGTCTAATTTCCATGGTTGTCCTCGCAGAAAAAAATCCAAAAGAACTAGCGTTGCCACAACCAAGATGGCCGGTAGAGTATGTCGCGGGTTCAATGACTTTGGGGGGAAAAAACTTTATGTGTGTAGTGAACTTAACAGATGCTGGCTCTTTGCCTCCGTCCTTCCACGTGCCACCTGAGTCCTTCTAATCTAGAGAGCAGGGCAGCCTTGAATGAGGTTAAGAGGACAACAGACCATGATCCTTCCCAAGCGAAGATTGACAGACCAGGCAAGAGCATTTTCACTGGAAAACTAAATTGTGAAGATTAGAGATAAAACCAAGGGAGGTTCCTGGCCCAGAGTATGAAACTGCCAAAGTTACAGCCAGGAGTAACTGTTGTGTTGTTTTGTTTTGTTGGGGGGGCGGGTGGAAGTCTTGATTCTAAGCCAGAATTCAGATTTTGGTTTAAAGAATGGGGAGAGGACCAGAGAGATAGCTCAGTAGAATAAGTGCTTGCATGGCAAGTGCAAGGGCCTGAGTTCAATCCCCGGTTCCGGAAAAAAAAAAAAGAATGGGGAGAGCTGGAAGGCTGAGGGGGGAGATCACATTTCTAAGCCCAGTCGGCGCAAAGTAGAGACTTAGCAGGACCCTATGTTGAGACAGAGAGAGAGAGAGAGAGAGAGAGAGAGAGAGAGAGAGAACCTGAACTCAGTGCAAAGGCTCTAGGTTTAATCTCTCATACCAAAAAGAAGCAAAGAGGGGCCAGGGAAATGGCTCAGTGGAATAAGCGCTTCCCTGCCAAGCGCAAGGGCCTGAGTTCAATCCCCGGTTCCGCCAAAAAAAAAAAAAAAGAAACAAAGAAAGAAAAATAACAAAAGTGGCCCTTTGGGGCTGGCTAGACAGCTCAGTGGACTAAAGCGCCTGCTTAGGCAGGCTCAGGGAACGGGGTTCAATCCCCAGCATGCCATGCCACTCCACCCCCTCAGGCCCACCCCCCAGGGTGCGCTGAGGCAGAGACTGAGATTGGATGTGGTGGCACATGCCTGTAATCCCAGCACTTGGGAGGCTAAAAACAGGAGGACCACTACAAGTCCAATCTGTGTAGTGAGACCCTGTACTAAATACGTAAAGAAAACTGACCTTTGACCCAGCATGGTGGCAAATGCTTGTAATCCCAGCACTCAGGAAGCTGAGGCAGGAGGATCTTTATGAATTCCAGGCCAGCCTTTTCCACAAAGTGAGCTCAGGCCAGCCTGAACTGCGTAGTGAGACTCTGTCCCAAAAAGAAAAAACTAGATAGGATGTGACTAGAACCTTAAAAGCTAACTGCGGGCTTAGGGCCTACAAAAGTAGCCTCTAACAGAATAGTCTACGGATACAACTTGCTCCCTGGCTCTGTCCATGAGAATGAGAGCACGTGGGCATCACCACCGTGCATGTTGCTACTGCTACAAACAGCCCCGAGATAGCAGCCGGCCGTGAACGTTGATTAATGTAGCTCGGGGTGACCAAATAAATGTATATGTTCAGTAACAGACTGATGGTATAGATAATCTCAGGCAGACAAACCAGTAATGGCCCTCTTGACTTCTCAAGGACTTACTGAAGTCTGGTTTGTCTGTGCTGCCTCTGCATAGACTCAGATAATAAGTAGGACGGGGCTGGGGAGATGGCTCAGTAGAATAAGCACTTGCCTGGCAAGCGCAAGGGCCTAAATTCAATCCCAGTTTCCGCAAAAAAAAAAAAAAAAAAAAAAAAAAAAAGTAGGAGATAATTTTAAGACAGTTTAAGGCTATTGAAACTGAAGGTATGGTCAGAGAAACCAGCAGTGCCTATCTCTCATCATGCACTAAGGAAATAGGATATCTAGCCGCAGATTGCCTAGGGAGATAGGGAGAAGATAAGCCTATCTTGAAATCACGTTGACCTAAAAGCAAGAAATGGAGAAATCTGGGCAGTTGGCCAGCTCAGGCTTGTCAGGCAAATCCAGACCTTATAGAAGTCTTAATTCAGTAGGGTGTGGTAGCATACACTTATGATCTCAAAATTCTTTGCCTGGCAAGTGCAAAGGCCTGAGTTCAATTCCCAGTTTTGCCCAAAAAAAGAAAAAGAAAGAAAGAAAAGAAATTCAAATTCAGCCTGAGCTGGACATGATGGTACTTGCCCATAATCTCTGTAATCTCAGCACTTGGGAAGGGGGCCCGGGAGATGGCTCAGTGGAATAAGTGCTTTCCTGGCAAGTATAAGGGCCTGAGTTCAATCCCTGGTTTTGCCAAAAGAAAAAAAAGAGTCACAATTCCCAAACCAATGGAAAAATAATTGACCTAATTTAGGTCTCCTGCCTTGTTGATCTTTCTTAGTTTCTTTCTTCCTTTATTTCCTTCCTTCATTTGGTGTATGTATACTAGTGAGATAGGAGATTCAGGGGTGCCAAAACTGACTAGGGAAGTAGGGGTAACCTGTTAATTTCAAAATTCCAGAATACATGTATAGAACAGTTGTTACAAAGCCCTGCTGGGGGACTTCTCCCCAGAACTCGAGCAGGTTTTCTTAGTATGCGCTGGACCTGACATCAGCCTGAGGACCAGATGGTATAAAAAGGACAATCCTCCCTGAGTTTTTGCCACTGTATTCTCTCTTGCCTGGATGGCCTGTCCTCACACTATAGGGCAGTGATGGTGAACCCTTTTAGCAGCCCCACAACCATTTATCGGAAAGTGGCCAACACTATTAATTAAACCTGAATACTGATGTGCTCGAAGACTTGGCCCACCTGCTGACAGAGAGGGATCCGCATGTCTGTGGCGGTGTGTGTGCCATAGGTTCACCAGCACTGCTGTGGTGTGTACTTTTTTCCCCTACTTTTGCTTGGCACAAGCTTCCTTTGCAGAACCTGTTTATTTTCCTATCTTTTGTTGTTTTGTTTTGTTTTTTTAAACATTTATTTATTTATCGTGTGTGTGTGTGTGTGTGTGTGTGTGTGTGTGGCCAGCTCAGCCCACCAGGGGGCGGGGCTGACTGGCTTGTGGTGCTGGGGGATCGAACCGCGGTCCCTGTGCTTTGCCAAGCTTGTTCCAAGTAGGTGCTTTAGACCACTGAGCCATCTCGCCAGCCCGTTTTGTTTTTTTGAGACAGGGTCTCATCATGTAGCTCAGACTGGTCTCAAATTCGAGGCCAACCTCCTGCCTCAGCATGGAACTACCAGCATGGGCCACCACACCCAGCCTTTCTTGTCTTTAATAAAACTTTGCTGGGCTGGAGAGATGGCTCAGTGGTCTAAAGCACCTACTTGAAACAAGCTTGGCAAAGCATAGGGACC